GCAGTTAAGTGGAGGAAAAAGCAGCAAATAAGGATTGCATTGTGTTTGATCGTATGCTGAGGATGGCTGACATGGTGAGCTAGCAAATCCTTCTGTAATTGGCATACAGGAATTTTGCCAAAGTCATGGAAGCAAAGTGGTTTGTTGCTTGCCTTTGAGGACTTGAGAAAGATCTGTCTTGGATATCCTCTTGTTGACCTTATCAGGTTAACTTTCATGTCTTTAGAAGGTCATGGAGAAAATCATTAATATTGGGTTGATTTGATGGCTGAAAGGTAATAAGTATTTCCTGCTTATCAGATGGGGTTTGAGAGGCCTTTGAGTAGCGTGATTTGTTTATCTTTTGCAATCGGTACAGCCCTCAGCAAGAGGGATTTTGTATTCCTGGTTCAGCTGGGGGAATGACAAATGGTTTGCTCTCTGTTGAGGCTTGGAGGCTCCACAGCATAAATAGCAAAAACATCAGGAAATTCTGAAGTCCAGCTCCCAGCTAACTTGGCCATGCTGTGGGCCTTGGACATCTCATGCTGTAATGCTTTATGACAAGAACAACAACAGATTAACATCCCCTGTTACTGGAAGGCTCAAAATAGAAAACCCGAAGTGCGTGGAGGTTGATTGGGTGGAAAGCCAAATCCTGTGAACGTGGCTTGGCACAGTGGGGATTTCATTGACCTTGGCGGGGCTGGGCTTGCTCTCTGTTCACAACAAGGCATGTGTGAGTGCAGAGATGGGGCACAGCCTGTGCAGGACTGACACCGCCGTGCCGCTGTCGGAGGCTTTTCTGGCATTTTCGTGTGGTGAAACCTCAGGCGGCATCAGCAGAACGGTCTTTCTCTCACTCTGCATCCGGGATTTAACAGATAGGGGAGTCATCCCTTAAGCCGAAGGATTGTTGTAAAGCCATTTAAAATGAAACCACTCGTTGAGTAAGGATCATTCGGCAAAAAAATCGCTTGAAAATCTCCCACTGCGGACTCGCTGAAGACAGACGTCGTTTCTGCTTCCAGTGGCTGTTTGGAAAGGAGGTAGGACCGAATCTCCTACCTTGAATGACTGGGCAAGTACAACAGAGGAGGCAGAGCCGCTTCTTTTCAGGTGTGAGGCATTTCTGATGCATCTCAGTGGCTTGAGGTGATGGTTGTTTCTTAAAGGAATGCTTTTTTATTCCCTTGCATAAGCTCTATATTGCCAAGTGTGTTTTTTAGGATCTCTTTGTAGCTGTATGTTGTCACTGAAAGGTGCAGTGACAAATAACTAATAAATGGATAAGGAACTGATGGAAAAGAGAAAGAGAGTAAGAGTGAAAATTAAACCACATTTGATGCTCTGATTTAACGACTAGGATTTTGCAGATTATAAATTGTTGCCAAAGAATGAGATGGAGTTATATGAAACCACTATCCTGAGATGCTGAAGTTGTTGTGCGTAGACAGAGGCCCATGCCGGTTAGATGGATGCAAACCAGACCATAATACAACCCCAAATCCCACCAAAATGCTGGGGGAGTCCTGTCCCCTGTCCCTGGAGAATGTCCCACAGGGCATGGTGCTAGTCAGGAGGCAGAAGGTGCAAGCAGCTGTTCACTTCAGAGATCTGTTGTGTGGAGCTCTGGGTCCAGAGTCTGTGGGTTTTGCTGCCTACTGCGTGGACATGTGGATGATCAGATTGAAAGGCCAAAAAAAGATGGTGGTCCCATTGTGTGTGATATCTTTATATGAAGTAACAGCATATCAATAGTGAAAAAAAAAAAAAGGAAAAAAAAAATCCTTTTGCTTTGGTGAACAAGAATGAAAGCCCTTAAGTTTAAGGGACTTACAGACATTTCTGCATTCATTTTTGTGATTGTTATGGAAATGTATTTGGGGGTGGGTGTACTTGGTTTTAGGTGACCTTCTTGGCTGAGTGTTGGTGATTGGTTGCTAAAGGAGACATATGTTCCTAATTTTTTTGAGATTTAGGGAAGAGAGTCTCTCTTATGGCGTATATATAACTGGACCTTTTTCTCTCAGAGAAGTTTGCTGTTTGAAGGACTGTGCTCTGCAGGGCAGGGGTCCTGTGAGAGTGGATTTCAGCAATGATCAAATTGGTTTTATCTCATGAAATTGACACTGCATGAAATTTTGTTTTCGGGTATTGGTGCTTTCTGCTGCAGGCCAGATGCAGCCCAGGCTGGCACAGCTAATTCCCCTTGGCCACAGTCCAGCAGAGCATCCTGTTTCCACAGAGTGGTTAAGCATGAGCTTATCTTTAAGCAGGCAGCTAAATCCGTGTGGTTTCACTGCTGCTCTGGACCACAGTGTCTTGGCCAGGGGACAGGTCAGCTGCAAGGGGAACCTGTAGTGCATTCCTCTTCCAGGATGTCTTTTGCCTGGGCCTGTTGCTGGAGAAGTGGTGGACTGATACACTCTTGGGCTGACTGCATTTCGGGGGTCGGTGTCACCTGCTGATCCCTGCACGAGGCTGCTGCTGGGCTGTGGGTCGTGCCAGCCACGTCCTTGGCTCGGGGAGGAGGAGATGTCCTCCCCCTGTGCCTGCCACGTGGCCTTCTTGCAGAGCTGAACGAGCTGATCTCAGGCAGGACAGCGGTGACAAACGTGCGTGGGAGTGTTGGAGACGTGTTTGGGGCTGAGCACAGCGCGGGACGCTCCGTGGGTGCTGCCGAGTCCACCCAGGCACTGCAGCTGCGGGCTGGGGCCTCTGCAGTGGGAGTGCTCCCGAGACGATTAGGAGAGAATTAAAACATGTTTTGGAAAACAGATTGCCTCTTCTGTTGGGAGTTTCTGAGAAAGCAAAGCAGCGTGCCCTTCCCCCCGCTTCAGATCCCACCTGTTTTGGTTTTTTTCCTAGAAAAATGTGAAATTCATTAACATGTGGTGAAAGCAATGTAACGACGTCATCTTGATTTAAAATCTGTTTTAAATCTTCAAATGGTGGAGCCAGAATTTTAACTGCAAATAGTCTTGCTTTGTGGGCATGAGGCAGACTGTCAGCATGATTGGAACATCTCTGGGCTTGGTAGTTTAGCATCCTTTGCAACAATGGCATTTGAACAGAAAGCAAGAAGAGACATAGGAAGGAAAAAAAAAAAGACATTAATATTATTTCTGTCAAAAGCCAAGTCCTTCTTGCTGTGGGGCCTGGAGAGAGCAGAGTGAGCAGAGCCCAGCTCCACGCTGAAAGAGCTCTGTCAGCATCCCACTGTGCCACCCTGCCGTGCCCTCTGGCAGGTGCCACGGCTGCTTCTCCTCTCACACCCTCAGCACTGGGTCACAGCTTCTGGCTGTGCTATTTTCTGAGAGTGGGAAACGTTGTAACCCTTGTATGTCACTCCTGTCATCTCCACGAATGTCTGTTGAGACCCGGCATCATCCTGAGCCGCCCTTTGCCCAGCCTGTGCCCACACCTTCAGCTCCCTATAGGCTTCTGACAGCAAAACAAGAGAGTTAAATCACTTTCCCTCCAAAAATTCAAACAGCAGAACCCCAGCATTTAATAATGGCACCAAAGGCAATCCTGCAGCATCGCTGGGAACCTCATTGCTGTGGCCACTGTGCTGACCGTGGTGTTTTGGCTCAGGTTGCTCAGTGAAGGTCTGGTGCTGAGCAGCACTGCTGGCCTCAAGTTTTCCTCCCACTACAGGCCTGGTTGTCCCCTTGATAACTGAACAGTTCTTTTGAGGTACTGACTTTCAGGGAGTGTGTGACTTCGAGGCATTTGCTGGTATGAGATGATACATGCAGGAGGCTGAAGTGGGGCTGTTTTCTGTGTCGTGGCCACTTGCTCTTATGTGTTTTAGTCTGGAATGGGAATGCTCCCTCCCCACACTGATACATTAGAACACTGTTGCTTGCAGGCCAATAGGAGGACAAGAGTCCCATGTTTCTAAATGATTTATTGTCCTGTGATGGGAGGCTGGTACCAAAATGTTGTCCCTCTGTGAGTTTGGAGTGGGCAGCGTGGATGTGATGGTGCAGATGCTCCACAGATCACAGATGGACAAATCATGGAGTGATTTTTGGGCTTTGCTACTGTTTGGGTGTGAAGTGCTTTAGGGTGCATGCTGCCCAGGCTCCCCTTTGGGAGGGCACCTTGAGAATGTCTGTGCTGTCAGGTACTCGGGCCTTGGGCACGTCAGGACGACTCATGGAAGCAAAAGTGGGAATCCTGTTTTGGTGGTTTTTGAGAATAGTTAAGATAGGAAACGAAACAAAAAGTTTCTGGTAATATTTTAAGGCTGTACTGAACAAAGGTTAACTTACTGCATTGGCCAGAAGAGACAGATGAGGTGGCTGAGGCAATCACACCCCTGCTGATCATGGTGTGCAGTGGAACATGGTTCTCACCACTCCTTGTGATCTCTCCCCAAGCCATGGCCATGTTGAGGTGGACAGAAATGCATCTACAGATGGTCACCAGCGAGCTGGCTTCACTGCAGGGCAGAGCTGGTGAAACAGTTAAGTTGAAGAGTGCCTGTGACGCTTTTTGTGTAGTAGATTTCACACCTGTGCAAAGCTCAAGCCCAGTCTGCTAAGGGCAGCACAGATAGTTTTTTCCCTTGAGTTCTCCCTGCAGTTAATCTGGGGAATCAGTGCAGATGCTGAAGGTGATGCACCAAATCCCTGAGACGGGGTTGTCCATCCCCATTCTCCCGTGTAACCTGGTAAAGGGTTTGCATGTACAGTGGAGAGCCTAATTTACGGCCAGCGTGGCTGACCAGGATTAAACCAGTGCAGGGCCAGGCAGAAGTTTTCATTCAAAAAAAAACCCCCGGTTTGATTGTAAAACCCCAAGTTTGGTTTCGTGTTGAGAGCCAGCCCTGGGTAGGGTTACACGCTGAGTGCCGGGTGCCGTGGCCGCAGCTGTCGAGGGAAGGGCAGCCAAATCTGCGTCCTCCGGCACCACGTGCCCCTTGGCAGGTTGGTGTGCAGCCCTGTCCAAGAGGCTGGTTGTGTTCATGGTGTGTTCTGTTCTCTCTCCCGCCTCCCCATCCCTCTCAGATGTTTGCTGCCGAGGAGAATGTGGATTTTCGGATACACGTGGAGAACCAGACGCGAGCGAGGGACGATGTGAGCAGGAAGCAGCTTCGGCTCTATCAGCTCTACAGCAGGACAAGCGGGAAGCACATCCAAGTGCTCGGCAGGAGGATCAGTGCCAAAGGAGAAGATGGAGATAAATATGGTAAGAATAGTTACTCTCATCCCCCAGAGTGCAGGTCAAAGGCTTTAATCCGGTATGTTGTGCGAAGAACCTCTTGAGAGGAAAAC